TTGGAGGCATTTATTAACACTTTTCTGAGAAAAATCTTGTGCTGCTGCTCTTAATTATGCTTATATTGATCTCTCACCTTCTTTGAACCTCTTCCCTTTCTTCTTGCCTCCCCATCCTTCAAAAAATGCCTGAACTGCAGCATATGTTCTGTTGTTTGGCTCTGTATGAAATATTGAAGTGTATTTTGCCTTTGATGGCATTCTTCTGCTGCAATCCAAGTGAAATATGTAGATTGCTCCTGGTGAAAATAGTAGATGAGGGTGGCAGAAAAACCTTCACGTATTGAACTCAAGTGCTATTTAGTAGTACGCTTTAAATGCATGGCCAGGGCACTTTTAACGTTTTGCTGGCCGATTACTATGTAAATGACACATCTTGCATATTGATGTAGTGGATTTGTTGCCAACTGTTAAGGGAAAATGGTTCAAAGAATTAACACTGTGCTCCCACTCTGACATCAAGATCATCTGATATGCCTGCTACGGCTGATGCCGATCTCTTAGCATGAGAAAAATAGGCATCAAAGATTATGAGAAAAGGTATGCTGGACGGTGATGTACCCCATGCTTCTGTAGAAGGAAAGGTTTATCCTTCTTTTACCTTAGTTGGCTCTGGGGCATAGGAAAGACTTGTCTGTCTATCCAAAAAATAAAAAATATAGCTATGGTATTTTTATTATAGGACAATTCGTCTGGCAATGTATCTGAAGGTGATTGCGCCACAGACAACCAGGAGGATTCTTTTCAGGGAAGACAAAAAACAAGAGACAAAAGTGCTACTCCAAGAAAAGATGGTTCCAAACGTTCTGTATTGTCCAAATCAGTTCCTGGGTACAAGGTAGAAGAAAAAAGCCCCTGACTGAACTTCTTTACTGACCAGCCTCTCCCTGAAATACTTGTTTTTCAATAATACGGAACTTCTGCTTGCTGTACTTCACTAGCTGCTCTCCTGTTGTGTGCTCCATCTGTTTGCTTCCTTACTACCTTTTTGCTATTACTTCATGTGGGGCTTTTCCCTTACCCTAGCTCTACAGTGACTTGTTTCTGTTAGCTTCTCTGATTCCATGGCTGTTAAATCAGAAATATCCATTGTGGTTTTATTAGTGGACCTCTACGTCCTTCTGTCTGCCCTAACAAAGCAGTCAGAATCATTTGTCAGTTCAAAACTCGCATTCAGTATTAGCCATTTTTTTTATTTTTGTTTTTTTTTCTTCTATTTAGTATGGCGGCATACCAAGAGATCAGTGCTGTAAAGCACAGCTGTGTGGCTAAATATGTTGTTATGACATTCATTTTAAATAGTCTTTCATCCTGAAATGTTACAATATATAGGATGGAAGGCAAAAACTACAGTTGTACAGGCAACACTACATAGCTGTTTTCCATATACTGTTAAAGTGGTTTTCTATGTAGTACATGCTACAGTAGAAAAGTTTGTAGGCAATATGCTTTTATTCAAGTTAAAGAATTGGCTAGGATGTTAAGATGCTTGAGCTATGAGTTAGTAATTGCCAAACCTAGGACCCAAATCATCAGTATTACTATATAATAATTTCACAAATCAAGATAAAAATAAAATTAAGATAAAAGTACATCTCAGAAGAAATGGAAAATGACTTGCATTATTTTTGCATTATCAATCCGCATACTGAGCGGGGGGTTGCGTATAATATGATACCTTTAAAACACATTGCCCAGTCCTGTTCCACTAAGCTAATGGGAGTTTTCCGTTGACCTACATGGGAGCAGGAGCAGGCCCATTAAGAGAGAAAAACACTACAATAAGGTAAGGTTTAGCAAATAGCAATCAGGAATGCTTGTTAAAAAGGTTATTAAAAAGCAAAAAGCCAGAGTTTTTGCAATGACAAGATGATGCATGTTGAAGAACTGTCTCAGCAAAAGCAAGCTGTTGATGATTTGCATTTAATATTCATGATTGTTTACTGTCAACATTTATCAATTTAACAATGAACTTACAGCTTTTATTAAGAAGCTAATTTCCAGCAAGATTTGGACAGCTTTGAATGATAAATTTCTCTAAATAGAGTAACTGCACAAGTACACCTTTTGCAGTTCCTAACAAATATCAAGCTCCAGCTGAGTTTTCTCTCTTCAGGAACTTACCAAGAAATATGCAAACTATGAAGATTTAGACCGTGGTACCATACTTTTTTTTTTATATATGTAACTTTGCAAATTGTTGTAGATCTAAAATTCATGCCAATATTTCCAGGAACATGAAATCCAAAGATGGAGCCTGAATTTTTTTAGTTTTGTTTCATTTGACATTAGAGATTGTGTGCCACTGGTTTACAGAAAGAAGTTTCATGTAGCTGTGAGACGCTTGAGTGTTTGGTTGGTCCAATCTATTTAATGGCCTTTTGAATGCATAGAGAGAGAACTGATGGAGCAGAACTTTTTTAAAGCTCTGAACTTCTAATTGTAGAAGAATATTGGTAGTATATAACATTTCATTTTGAAAATGGATTCAAAATCACCAGTTGTGTTAATAACAAGATATAACTGTAAACTTACAGTGCCACATCTTTGCAATGTCAGTGTACTCTGCATCAGACATCAGGCTGTTGATACTTTAAAGGTGATGATGTTGTGTTGGGAGGGTGAGAGGATTGTTTTTCTTGTTTGTGGGAACGTTTAAATGCTTTCAGTAAACCCAATTACATGAGCTGTTTTAACCAATAAGACAGATCCTTGTTTGTCAGTCTATAAAATCACCAGATAATGATACACCGTATGTGCCTAAATGTTGAGGCACTTTGAGTTGAAGGCTTAACTGATTTTGTATTGTCCCTGTAATTGCTAAATCTTTGTAATGTTTTGTTCTGTATCGTTCTCTAATATTTGACTATTTTTGTAGGACAGTAATCTTTCTGGTTACATTTAGTTAAAATTGAAGGATAACTGTTATGGCATCAACATGCAAATGTACAGCTATAGCCACAGAATGAGTATTACAGGATTCACACACTTCCACTGAGTTATTTTTAAGTAAAAAAAAAAAAAAAAAAATTATGTATTTTATATGGAGCCGTTTTTATTGTCAGTTCTTTAACAAAGAACAGTTAGCATGTGTTTTACGTTTTGTCATGTTACAAGTAGTGAGTCTTCATGGCTGCAGGACTGGCTACTACAATTGCACACACAGGGTACTGTTAAAGTACAGGAGATTTTTTTGCACATAAAACTGAAATGTATTGAGAAACTCTATTTTACGACACTTCTGTTTTGGATTCACTGTATATGAAAATTGAATGCTTTGTGTTCAGAATAGGACCTTATAAAACGAGTGTAGTTGGAATGTTTGAGAGCTGTAGCACAGCAGCATGGAAGTTAAAACGTACACAGTAGTCGTCATTTTGACCCTGTATTCCTTTTCTCCCCCTTCCTCACCAGAATAAGATGAAGATGTGGAAAGCAAAATGTACTTTTAAGTCACATGGGATGTTGGGACTTTCCATTTGGATTTGATACACTTTTTACATAGTGTTTCTAAAAGCCATTTATGATGGTAGAACTTGAATTGTTTTGAAATGTGAACAGTCTTGTCTTTTTTTCATTTTTGTAAGAATACTTCCATATTGCTGGAACTTTATTTGTAATAGGCTGCGATTCCCACCCCCCCGAACACATGCGATTTCTGATTAACACAATATAGTGAAGTAAACATGTCAGTTTCTAACTTTAGAATTAGGTGTATCCAGTGTAACTGCACATACCCTAACCCAGGTACAGTGACCCAGAAGTAGCTCACTTTAGTTTTGGTGGAGTCCAAGGAAGTTTGCTGCTGTATGTTAAAGGCAGTAAAATACAAATTAATAACACAAATTAGAAGTTTCATTAGAGAAGTGCACTTGCTATTCTAGAAAGGCTTGGTTTACTTAGATATAGATAAAAACACAACAAAAAATTTAGAATGAAGCCTAAACAGCAGAAGGGTAAATGCTACAACACTAACAAGGTTTAAGCATGTGCCACTTTTGTTGGGAGGAGCAGGGTATAAAGGTATACATGTAGGACACAGAATAGTTAACAGTAAAAGATTTTATGTGTGTTTTTGCTTCCATTATATTTATTATTTTGTAGAGACATTTGTGAATGTTAGATTTCTTTTATCGTTTTATTATATTTATGTACAAAACAGGTTGACTATGCTTTTTTAAAATAAATAAGCAAAAAAAAGTCTGTATAAATGCCTCTGTCATCTTTTGAAAAGGAGTTAATTATGAACATCTGGTACGGTGATGTGCGTTTTTTTTTTTTTTAAATAAAACTCGTTAGGCCAGATAATTTGAAGCAGACTGTAACCATGTTTTTAACTTAAAAAGCAGATTGAAAACTTCAAAAATTTTGAAGCAAAGCAATGTGTCCTGACAACTTAAAAATGAATTAAGATATTAATTATCTTGCTAGAAGAAAACAAACTGGGTGGGGAAAAAGATGCACTTAAGGATGAGTTGTATTCCAAAAGATCTCTAACTCTTTTGTATATAGTTGTGTTTTCACCTTTATTTATTCTTATTAAACTTCATTCTCCTCCTGACACACACATTTGCTAACTGCCTAGGACTCTTTTTTTTTTTTTTTTTTACTGACAAGCTATTTAGTTCCTTAGAACGAGGACATACTAGGATATACCTGGAACTCCCTCTAATGGCTAATAGCTGCTTTTTTGCAGCAACATTTTCTTAAAAAGCTCTGGTACTAGTAGATTTAAAATCAGTGAGTACTATGTGAATTTTGATCTTTTCTCACAAATTTCATTATGTAGTAGTCAAAGCTCAAGAACGTAACCAGTGAAATGTTTCTGAAATACGTAATGCCTTATTTCTCTCTTGGTTCTCGTGAAGCTAAAACTACTGTGGGTGTATTTTGGGGGTTTGCACACAGAATTAATACACAAATATTACTCCATTTAACAGGGTAGTATTTCCATTTTACCTTTTAAATGGATCTTACGGATCCACATGTGCTCCAGATGATCACCTTGAAATATTTTACATGTAAAACTATAGTTAAATGTGAGGGTATGTACTACTTAATGCAGTTATGACTGGACACAAGAAAGAATCGTAAAACAGTGTGTAGTAAGCTAATCAAATATTTTGAAACCTTAAAGATACAAAAGTTAAGTTTATTGCTTTTATAATTTAGATAAGATTCTATAGAGAGAGACAAACTTTATACAAATGCAAAATTGTATTTATGGAAAAAATTACTGAAATTAACACTGTACCACATTTAATTTACTTTGAGGGCAATGTTAGCGGATGAATTCATAATAAGAAACTAGTACATGCTTTTGTTCCAGTTGTATTGTTCGCTGCACGCACACCAAGTGCAAGATTTTATCTAGCTAAGATTTTTAAATGCCACTGCTTGTCAATTAGTGTCATATGTTTTAAGGGTCATCTCAATAACATCATAACAAGTAGTTTGTTGTTTTGTAAGAATTAAGGAGATATATTTCATTTCCTGTTAAATCCATAAATTCTTCTGGAATGAATTTATAGCCCTCTTCTACCCTTCCAGCCAAAGGTCAGTCCAAATGCTATATGTGGAATTTGTCTGAAGGGTAAGGAGTCCAACAAGAAAGGAAAAGCTGAAGCACTTATACATTGCTCCCAGTGTGACAACAGTGGTAAGTATCTGTATACACTACCTGGATTATTAAGGGTTCCAAAACTTTTTTTGGAAATACTTAGCGTGCTAAACTCTTGTACTAACAGTTCAGTGGCCTTTTCTGTCCTTCCTCAAAACTTCCTCTCTACTTAATATGTACTAGCATGCTCAATGCACTGTGAGGTCTTACCAGGAGGTGAGCTAAACTTCAGCTTCTGTAAAAGCAAACAGACTAATGAATTTTAAATTTCATTTCAGACATAACAGTAATAATATTGGTTTTAATCTAGGCCACCCTTCTTGCCTTGATATGACCCCGGAACTTGTTGCTATGATTAAGACTTACCCTTGGCAGTGCATGGAGTGTAAAACATGCATTATATGTGGGCAGCCTCACCACGAAGAGGAAATGATGTTCTGTGATGTATGTGACCGTGGTTATCACACATTTTGTGTGGGACTTGATGCAATCCCCTCAGGTAATAAAGCAAGAGTTAATTGTTCCCTTCCCACCTACTTTGGGTCCTGGGGTTTCTCTGTCAGAATTAATATATCTATTGCTTATGAAAGAATAGTTTAAAATAGCCTGAAGGGTAGGAATAAGCATATCCACGCTGCAGGACCTGAATTTTTAAATAAGCTTTATTTCTGTGTATTTGATTGTTTACAGTTTAACCTGGCAATTCCTAGGAATTAGGAAGTATAATTGGCTTTTACAGCAGACTCCAAGCAGACTCGCACAGAACTTTATTTTTTGTTATATTTCCAAAGAGCACTGAGAATAATTACTTCTGTTCATAAAAGAAACCTGTAAAGAGGCTGCATTGCTGCATATTGCTGGAGTATAGCTTTCACATTAAAATGTTTGTGCTATTATTTCAGTTTCTAAATTTAAAAATATGTTCAATTTAATATTTGTAAACACCTTTTTAAACTCTTTCCTTTCCCCATTTTTTAAACATCAAAGCTGGAAGTAAAGTGCCTAGATGTCAGGCAGCCTGTACCTTTAAGTTACCTAGTCACTCCTATCACCTGGCCAACTCAAAGCAGTGTAAAGAAAGCTCCAGAGAGACCTAAATAACTGGTAAACTTCTCAGTTTTTGTGTAATATTAAATCCATGGTATGCAGTAAGTTCATGAATATATAAGTGCTCAGTGGCTGCAAGTTCCATGATGACAGTATTCCCTACAACTACAGTATTTCAAATATGAACAAATTCCTGTTGTAGTCTCCCTTTGTTTAGAGGTATCCAAACCAGCTGTCACTTCAGTACAGGTTCTGTGGCTGATTTAACTTTCAGGCTGACCTAAGGACAGAAACTAAAAACAATAGATTATGTTCCTACCAAACTATGAAATTAGCAAAGCAATTTTTATGATTCCAGCTGTTGTAATATAAAGAGTTAATGTAAGAGGTCTGGTGACAAACCCCTGCTAGCAGTTTCATCTGCGCTGCCTGACTGCACTGAAATAACTGATACTGATTTGGGGAACGGGACCTAGTACTCTGTGGTAGAAGAATGGCAGTATTCTCCAGCTGCCATTCATTTCTGCTCCAAGTAATTGCCCGTAACTTTGAATTGTGGTCATTTGTATGAAAATATAATTTGCAACCTCAAACATAATTTGTCAAGTTCCTTCTTTCCTATAATCACCTCCTTAACAGTGCTAGCTCTTATTTCTTGTGGTCCATAAACACGTGTAGCCAATTGTTACATGCAGTGAGTCTGCAAGGAAGCGTAAATTTTTTACGCTATTTTCTATACCTTTTACAAAAGATGCTTACATCTTAAAGACAAACACTTATTTACATTAAGGGAACTACTACAAATAGATTAGCACCTATGAAAACGGTGAAAGGTGCATGACTAGGAGCGACTATCAAAGGTAGTTTCCCAATAATTGATAACTTTCTTTTCTTAGGTCGCTGGATTTGTGATTGTTGTCAGAAAGACCCTCCCATACCCAGAAGAGGAGGAAGAAGGGGGAGGACTCGCAAGGAGGGATAACAAAAAAACAAAAAACAAAAAACGAACCTTGCTGTCCAAAACTTAACTGCACAAGTTTAAGTGATAGTACGGTGCTATTTAACCAACCACTCTGAGAGGAACAATACCACTTTTTTTTTTTCTTTTTACCAAATAAACTTTTAATTTTGGCTATATAATGATTCTTTTGTGATAAAATTCACTGTGTCCTGACAGATGTCTAGATAGAAAAGCCAAATTCCCATTCAGAAAGAGAAGACTTTCAATAACAAGATTTAAATTGTACATGCACTGTTTGTATAAAACTATATTAACATACTTGTTCATTTCAGTGCACTTATCAGTAAGCTCTGTGAAAAGAAAATTACAGAGCACTTTAAATGTGCACTATTTGCATAGCAGCTGGTTACTTTGTAAGACCTAACCAAAGCAAAAATAGTCCTGGAAAAACTAACTTTCATGGAAGTGTGGGCATGACCTGACTTTCTTAGAATGTGCTGTAAATTCCTTTCAGTGAAAGTTTCCTTTACAGATTAATGCCTTATTCATAAAGATATACTGAAAGAGACTGTAAACATCCCTGCAAAAAAAAAAAAAAAAAGGTTATGAAGGGAGGTTTAAAAAAAAAAAAAGCACCTCTCAAGCTCAGGATACTATACGCTGCATTGCTTTTAGTGAGGAATGTCATACTGACAGATAAGAACAGCTGAAGGCTTACTCTCCTTATAGGAATCGTGAAACAACATGCGCTTGATTCATGTCATGGATTTGCAGAGGTGATGAGTGAGTGGACAGGCCTCCACTTGCAGATGGTCGACTTAAACAATATAGAGCATAAGCAGTCAAAATATAGATCACCTATTGCCCTCGGTGTTTATTTGGTTTTTCCTTCCCTTCACCCTAGGCTCCTCAACTTGACTCAAAAGCCATTGCTGATAGCTTTTACTGAAGATGCTCGTTCAGAGAAGCAGCAGATCTTATTTTTTTTAATATGTTTTAAATTGAGAGGGGGCACTGAAGTGCAGCATTTCTTTTTTTTTTAATAAAAAATTGATAGAAAATACTGAATTAGACTAGCTGATTATTGCCTAAGCACCTATTTAAAGTGAATTTAGTAAGATTCCCATCTGTACTTTCATTTTTAAGCCTTTATCTCTGAAGAACACTTTAAGTACTGTGCTTGCTGCTCATTTTACATGTAGGGGAGGATTTAAAATTAAGTATGGCTTTTCCCCCCTTCCTTTCTGGGTATAGAAAAAGTAACCTGAATACCTCTTCAGGAAACTTCACAAAGAATATTAAGTATTACAGCAAGTCATTTGTGTTCAGTTTCACAGACTGAAATGTGATTTAGTCCAGTGTAAATCAATTTAAAAAAGAATTTCAAGTATTAGTTTCAATATTCCAATAAGTATAGTCCAGAAAACAGACTCCTCATCCTGAGATTCATCTTCTGTTGAGTGTGAGTATTTCTGGTTTGTCTCCATTTCTTCAGGGTTGTAAGAAGCCTCACCAAATGGATATTGTACAACTGTTCGATCATAATATACTTTCATTTCAAACTCGCTCTCCAGGTGAGAGGGATGACCATAAATCCCTATTCCCACTGGGCGGCGGAAGTGGGCTGGTACATGAACGACATCTTGGCCACAAGTTACAGACTGTAACTCATATTCATCAAAGCTGGGGTGAAGAGTCATATCAGATACATACAAATCTGCATCACCTTTTAAACTCCGCATTTGAAGTACTATCTTTCCCTCATGATTTAGTCTCAAATAGCTGTAGTTTCCAGCTCCAATCTGACCTTGAACAACATGAAGAAGAATCCATTCTTCAGGCACATCTTCTTCCTCAAAGGTATTTACTGCAAATAGTGCTTGAGCTGCCACAAATGTTATCAGGATTCTCCTCCAGCGTGCTGCCATGGCTCTTAAGTTTTACTCAGACTCTTCCTATGTCACATGCACTAGCCTGCTAATACAGAACATAATTCAGGTTTTAATATATTGTTCTTGAAGATTTCAGAGAGATTCCTTTCAAAACTGATAATTTTTAAAATGCCACCCAGTCCATACAAAGTTAAGCAGAAATTAATCAAGCAGTGGTTCTTTCATGCAAAACTGACAGTGAAGCCTTAGTCTAATTCTATCTGCATACATGGCACAGTTTGACATATATTAAGAAGAGAGGAGACCCAACAATGACTTTGGCCTCAGTTTAAAAACAGGAAAAAAAATAAAAAAAGTTTTTACAGGTTTGAAGAAGCTTAACTTTGTATCAGTTGTTCAGGGCATCCTATTTTTCTCCCATCCTCTTGTCTAACTTCAGAAGATAGTTAAGGTGCAAATCTGGATGCATGCATGAAGCAGTACACATTCTGACTTCCTCCGCTGGGGAAGCAGTTGGAAACAAAAATCACCTAATGAGGTAGCACAATACATACAGTTCTCCTGTGTGGGTTATTTGTAGGACCGAAACTGGCATACTTTCATAACGACTCTGTTACCATACACATACTCAGACCTCTACAGCACTTGCGTACAAAATAAAAGGTTGTGAAGTTACTGTGACAAGGGGGAGATTGAGAGGTCTGTTGCAGAATGAAGGCCCTTGCAACCCCTTACCTCCCTTATTGCCTGCTTCCGGTCAGGCAGCCTGAGAGTGCTGCACTCCAATCCTCAACAGTTGCACCGAAAGTGTGTGCAAAAGGAAGCAAAGTTTCAAACCTTGCTGAAGACGAGCCAAAGCATACAGCTGACTGAACATGCAAAACGATGGTCAAGCGTAGCAGCCAGAAGCACACGCACTTTGCCATTTCAGCCTCATTCCTTCTGTAAGGACTGTATGACAATTACTTTAAACACTAAAGTTGTTAGCATATTGTTTTGCACACTGCTAGCATCACAACAGACTGCATGACTTCCACTGACACGACACAGACCCTAGCCTGAAGGGTTTACAGTTGCATAGGTGTAGGGAAAAAATTGTGCAAATATTTCTGTAGTTCTGAGAGGCCTCTGTAACACAAGGCCACAATTCTGCAACGACAGCATAAAAGATGCAAGTCCAGCATTCACAGAAAAAAAGGCTGCCAACAGTGACACGAAAAACAGTCTTCTGTCTTTTGTCTCCCCATACCAAAGAACTGACTACCTGCTGTTTTTAAAGTAGTAGTGAAGTATCTGAGGGGAGGAACTGGAGGAGAACCACACCTGAGCAGCAAATAATTAAGTTATCTAAACACGAGCCAGAGGCAGTACCGTTTGAGAATCTATCTTAACGCTACCAGTGTTTTGGCACTGCCACAGCCCTCGGAAGACGAGGGGAGGTTCAGGGGACCTTGGACAGAGCCAGGAGCGCCTCTGTCCGCCCGCGTTAACTC